GGGCCAGCCCGGCTGCCCCCAACCCTTCTTCCCGGCGGCTGGTTCTCCCTTCCCCCCATTGCCACCTCCTCCCGGCCCGGCCTGCTCTGCTCCCCTACCGGCAGCCACACTGAGGCCTGGTATTTTTTTCCTGCGGCCCGGTACCGGGCCGCAGCCCCTAGTTTAGGAAACACTGATATATATAATTAGAAAGATCACAGTGAAGTTTAGAACTTTGAATTTATCAACTGGGAGGTGGTTGGTACAAACTCATGTGGGAGGTGGAATAGTATTTAATACTTTTTTGAGGTTGTGAGACATGTACTGTTTTGAACAGTGGTAACAGCAAAGAAACATCGGTGGTTTTCATGCCTTAATTCAAGGACTTTCTATTTTTACTTAGTTTCCTTGAGAGGTTTTTCTTGTGCAGGGCCTGCATTGAGCAGATAGGTATGTAGATATTAATGAAAGTAATTATTAATACCACACACTAGACTGACTCTTTTATAAAACTGTCAGAATGCTGTATAGTTGGCTCTGTTGTGCTGCAGGAGGGCAGAGGTGCATGGCTTCTCAAAGATGATTGGCAAGACTATACAAGGAAACTTGAAAGCCATTTTTTCCCTAGCAAGATAAGACTTTCATTTTCCCAGATTCAAGGCAATTGTAGTTCTTTCAAGGCTTAGAATTGCAATAATTTTATTTCTGTTTGCAGATGTGGGGGTACTGTTGGTGCAATTCTGACATGTCCGCTGGAAGTTGTGAAAACACGGCTGCAGTCCTCCTCTGTTACTCTTTATATCTCTGAAGTTCATCTCAGCACTGTGAATGGTGCTAGTGTCAATCGAGTAACGAGAGTATCTCCTGGACCTCTCCATTGCTTGAAGTGAGTACTATCTCCACGTTCCTGTTCTTCAGATCCTTTTCAATTTTCTAGAGGTATTATGGTTTTTGCTTTAGAAATAATGTTATTTAACCCTTAACTTCGTGTCTTCTAAAACATAGTTGGTTTGTGCATTAAGGTTTTTGAAAGTAATTTGGGGTGAGCAGTAATTTTTGGTGGGGAGGCCATTCCAAGATTTTAGAAAGCGATCAAGGGCCTCACTTTTCTGTGGTGGGGTGTGGGATCTGGGGTGGAGGTTAGATGCAGAAGGGAGCTCAGGTAGGGGGATTTGATCGAAGGACAGGGTGTGGGGTCTGGGAGGGAGTTCGGGTGAAGGAGGGGGTTGTGACCTGGGACAGTGGATTGGGGTGCAGGATCCAGGAGGGGGTATGGGTGCAGGAGAGGATTCTAACCTGGGGAAGGGGCATAGGAGGGAATGCAGGATTTGGGAGGAAGTTCTGACCTGGAAGGAGGGTGTGGAGGCTTGGATAGGAAGGAGGGGTGGTGATCTGGGTGCCAGATTTAGGCAACGGCTGGGAGGCGCTTACCTAGGCAGCTCCTGGCCAGCAGCCAGGCAGGCTCCCTGCTTGTTGCAGCCCCAGACTGCTCAAAGCCATGCACACAAGTGGGGCAAGGAAGAAGCAAAGGGAGCTGTG